CGGCATTCCAGCTCTGGCAGGGAGGGGGAAGAGTGGGGATGGAGCATGAATTAGGTGATTCATGTACTACAAAACCGCTGGGGGAGGGGAGGCAGACAGTGGAGCTATGGGACCTCAGGTGGAACCTTAACTTGCCATGGGCTGCTGAGGCCCACTGGGATGAAGGAAGGCCATTCATGCAACCCACCTATCATTCTTGGTTGCCCATCCCTGTCTTACACTTTAAAAGTGTAATCACCCAAGATATCAAACATAAAATCATACAGAGCCTCAGTGTATCTTACTCTTCACCTTATTACAAAGATTTATTTGTGGGAGAGAGAAATAGGACTAAAAATGAAGGTTGTAAGTACATTTAAGCATAGGTTACTTGCGGTAGCACTTGGGAGGTGCACAACCCCTTGCTCCCCTGCCAAAATTTTAGTTGCTAAATGGGGTGCCCCCACATACTCCTTCTTGCTTCTGTGGGTGGCCCTCCCTGCACCCCTTCCTTGCAGGCACCCCTGCACTTAAGTGTGTTGCTGGATAGATTTGACTGGAATGTTTTTCACCTCCTGCAGGCCCTCTAAGGTTGTGGGGATTCAAGGTACAGTAATTCAATAGGATGGAATTGTAACTAGAGATGGGCTAAATGCAAAGCTGCTTAAATTACTAGGCATCTGCCCTGTCAAATATCTTCTGTGCTCCTGCTTATATATCCTGCAAAGTCAGATGTGTTTGTTATGCACAAACAGCAAGCAAGATTGTGCTCAGGCAGGAGCTGGAAGTACTTATCAGCCTTATTCACCCTTTGGCTTCTCTTTACATTGCTTCCACCAGCTTGGTCCTCTTTCACAGCACAGGCAAAATTCTATTCCTTTATAACACTTTAACTCTTTTAGCACCTTTCACCTAAGGAACCTGAAGCAATTTACAACTATCAAATTAGTTCAGTACCTTCTCCCTTCTGTGGGAGTAAATATAGTTTTTCTCAATTTTACAGATGGGGAAACTGAGGCAGAGAGGCTCCATGACTTTCCCAATGACACAAAAATTCTTGGTAGAACCAGGAGCAGAACCCAGAATTCTTAGTTCCAAATCACATTCTCTAGTCACAAGATTCTGACATGATTGTGCTTTCAATAGGCTTTACAAGCACTTACTTGGTAGATAGCATGCATATAGAGAGATCTGTCAAAAGGATGTCACCATCATAACGGAGGGATCTGACACTGGAAAGAATTACTTTGAATGTTGTAAAGACTCAAGTTAGGTGCCTTCTGTCATGGCCTATAAGGTGGGACTTCACTCCAGTTCTCTAACCTGTTGCTATTGCATATACAGATGGTCCCCGAGTTATGAATGCATCAACTTACAACCGTTCGTATTTATGACCAACCTCCTATACAGCAGGAACCCAAGTTACAAACGAAATCCGCACTTATGAACAGCGCGGCCGTACATAAGTGAATGTAATCCGACTTATGAACAGATCGAGTTACGACCTAGTGTTTGGTACGTAACTCATTTGTAAATCGGGGAATATGCTGCATTCAGGTCCCTGTGAGTTTGAAAATGAAGCTCAAACAAGTACAGCCAGCCTTCCATCACAGCTTGTCTGCTGGGCTTTTCTACATAGCAAATGCTGATTAGTCTAGGTGCAACAGCAATTACCTGCCAGATATTGAATCTTTACATTAAACATGCACTTGTGCACTGCCATGTCAAAATTTAGGCTTTTAATCAATAATGCTGATAGTATGGTGAAGTGTGTGTGTGTGTGTGTGTGTATGTGTGTGAGGGGTAATTTGAACCCCTTTTCTCCTTGCCCTAAAAGGCTTGTTTCTAAAGTAGCATCTGGTTAGAAATGTGTTATAAATATACAAATGCTGTACCCACCCAATTTTAAACCAGAATATGTGCAAATAAGTTATATGAAAACGAAGCCAATACAAGGCTGTAAATAAGTCTGAATAAGGCAAACATAGAGATAATCTATTAGGAAGAGGAGAGCTGCTGGATAGTGACCAGAAAATAGAACTGCTATACTTTGTCTGTATAACAATTTAAAGATGATTGAGAGAATAATAGAAGAACATAAGAATAGCCATACAGGGTTAGACTAACTGTCCATCTAACCCAGTATCCTGTCTGCCAACAGTGGCCAATACCAGATGCCCCAGAGGGAGGGTATACAACAGGTAATCATCACACGATCCCTCTTCTGTCACTCATTTCCTGACAAATAGAAACTAAGAACACCATTCCTACACACCCTGGTTAATAGCCATTGATGGACCTAACCTCCATGAATCTATCTAGCTCTTTTTTTAACTCTGTTTTGTACTCCTTCACCACATTCTCTGGCAAGGAGTTCCTCAATGCACTGAGTGATGAAAAACTTCCTTTTGTTTGTTTTAAACCTGTGGCCTATTAATTTCATTTGGTGACTTCTAATCCTTATATTGTGGGAATAAGTAAATAACTTTTCCTTATTCACTTTTTCCACACCAGTCATATCCCTCCTTAGTCTCCTGTTTTCTAAGCTGAAAAGCCCCAGTCTTTTTAATTTCTCTTCCTATGGGGCCTGTTGCAAACCTCTAATCATTTTTGTTGCCCTTCTCTGAACCTTTTCCACTAGCAATATATCTTTTTTGAGATGAGGTATTTGTACGCAGTGTACCATGGTTTTATATAAAGGCAATAAGATATTTTCTGTCTTATTCACTATTCATTTTTAAATGATTCCTAACATTCTATTTACTTTTTTGACTGCAGCTGCACACTGAGTGGATATTTTCAGAGAACTATCCACAATGACTCCAAGATCTCTCTCGTGAGTAGTTGCAGCTAAATTAGTTCCCATCATATTGTATGTATAATAGGGATTATTTTTTCCAATGTGCATTACTTTACATGGGGGAGGGGACTTCAACTCGTCCCCCCTAAGTTCTGTTTTTCAGCCCCAGTCAGTTCCTTTTTTTTCTCAACAAGTTTTGCTGCTGAAGGGTGGGCGGGAGGCGAGAGGGCTTCTCAAAAATCAAAAAGGTGGTGTGATGCCATTTATAAATAAGTTGAATAGGATTGGTCCCAGGACAGACCCTTCGGGGACCCCTCTAGTTACCTCTCTCCACTATGAAAATTTACCATTTATTTCTACCCTTTGTTTCCTGTCTTTTAACCAGTTCTCAATCCATGAAAGGACCTTCTCTATTATCCCATAACAACTAACTTTACTTAAGAGCCTTTGGTGAGGGATCTTGTCAAAGGCTTTCTGGAAATCTAAGGGTATGTCTACACATCAAAGTTAATTCGAAATAACAGCTGTTATTTTGAATTAACTTTACTAGTGTCTACACAGCCAAACCGCTATTTTGAAATAAATTTGAAATAGTGGAGCACTTATTTCAAATTTAGTAAACCACATTCTATGAGGAATAACGCCAAATTCGAAATAGCTATTTCAAAATAAGTGCTGTGTAGACATTTATTTCAAAATAGGGGGCCTCCAGCCTTCCCAGGCTGCCCTGGTGGACACTCCAGCCTCAACCAAGAAGCCACTCCAGTCTCAAATAAGAACACTTCTCTCCCTCCCTTCTCTCCCCAGAGCCCTTAAAGGGATTGACTCTGGCCACAGTTCCTGTGCCAGTTCCAGGCATGCCGGCACAGAGCCAGCAGTCACTGCCCCAACCCAGTGGGCCCAAAACATGAGCCAGCAAGCCACCGGCAGCCAGTCCTCCACCACTCCCCGGGAGCAGTCTGCCAGCTTCTATGAGCCTGACAGGGCCTGGAGAAGGTGGGCGCCTTCCTGGTTCAGGGTAGACCTTACTTAGGTTTGGGGGGGATGCCCCCA